TTTTTTTTGCTTTCTTCAGTTCCTTTCAGTTTTTTTCGTTTGTTTATTCTTTTCTTTTGCCTTGAATGTATTCGTATTTATTTTAATATATGGGATGTCCCTCACTTTGCATCTGCCATCATTTTTTGTTGATTTTATATGTTCTGTTCAATTGGTTATTGAATTTAATGAATTACAGCTTGTCTATCATGTTTTCTTGTCGATGGTTTTGATGATATTCTGTGTGATATTGCTCTTATCTTGTTCGTATTTTTCGTCTTTCGGATATATTACTAGTATTTTATCAGTAGGTTGATTGTTTTGCAGCATTTTAATAACTATATTGTATAACGTAGTTGATTATCTCATCGATCTTACGAAGTTGATTGATTGAATGGGAGGTATTGAAATGCCAAAGATAAATATCAGTTGCAAAAGAAAATCTTAGAAATCTAAGGCAGAGGTAAAATGAAATTTACTATCATAAATATAATCGAGGTTAGATTTTTTTTAAATTTCCAATTTCCGTATAATGTTCCTGTTGTACTCAAATGAATTGAGTATAAATCAGAGGGAACAATAATGAGCTACTAATAGTATAACGTAGTAGTAAAAACGAAATAATAATATGAGTAGAAAAAAGACTATAAACGATTAGTCCTCATTCACTTAATGTCTATGTCTTCATGGTGTTTTTGCAAAATCTAGAACAGCTAACCACATTGGAAGTCATAAAAACAATAAGAAATACCAATCTAAGCTTAAGTTTAATAGCTTATCAAAGTTTAAGGGGCTTAAATCAAATACAAGTGAATAGAAAGGATTGAAAATGAAGAGTAATTTAGACTCCTCAGTATTAAAACACAATTGCTAATGAGATTATTAAGTATTGAGTGGGTAGAACACACCTATTAGTTTGTTTATATTCGATTTCATCCTATTATATATTACAAGATGTAGTTTAAAGTACTCATATCGATATAGACTTACTTATTTACTTTACTTACGCCTGCTACTCCCAGTGGACCATAGACCTCAGATCAGCATTCTCCAACTTACTCTGTCCTGGGCCTTCCTTTCCAGTTCTATCCAGTTGTTGTTCATTCTTCTTATGTCTGTCTCCATTTCTCGACGTAATGTGTTTTTTGGTCTTCCTCTCCTCCTTTGGCCTTGAGGATCCCATGTGAGAGCATACCTTGTGACTCAGTTGAGTGCTTTCCTCAATATGTGTCCTATCCACTACCAGTGCTTCTTCCTGATTTCTTCCTCCATTTGGATCTGGTTTGTTCTCTCCTACAATAGGTTGTTACTGATAGTGTCTGGGCAACGGATCCGAAGTATTTTGCGTAGACAACGTGTTAATATAGAGACTTATAGAAAAATGGAGATACATATTTAGTATCATAGTGTTCGGGTTTACATACCAAGATCTTAGGTTTTACATTTATCATAAGTTCGAACATTTTGTATTTACTAAAACTTAATTAGCATTCATTAAGTTAGTATCTTATTGCTTAAAGGGTATAATTCTTTTTATTTTTTATTTGGTATGAAATATTCTTAAAACTTTTCATTATAGAATCAAATCTTAGTGTGTTGTCATTATTGAGTATTTGTCGAATAGGCTTGTGATATTTTTTTTATTAAGGAGAGTTAGCTGTCCAAACTCTTGTATTAGTGTCGGGAAGGAGAACACAGGTGAGGACAACTGAATTATATTTGGCACAAAATTACAGAGTTACTTGGTTAAATAGAAAAACCATATAGTAAATCGTTAATTTGCAAAATGTTCAATAATTATCTCGAACTTCGTTGTTCTTGCATTTCCATCCTAATTGTTTTCTATTCCAGCTCTTCCTTCTTCATCTTCCCCATCTTCTGCTACAGATATTACATTCCTGACTCGTGTCATATACTACTTATATCAATATAAGTAGCACGCACCACATTAGTACTGTCTAGGTTTACAATAAGAAAGAATACTTGTTTGATTCTAAAACGAAAATGCATATGTATTGTTTCTGATATAACGAGTTGAGAAGGAAAAGCACATTTATAACTCTGCGATTTTTGTCTAACATTACTTCCATTTTTTTAGTTTTTTTATGCAATACGCGGTTTACTCAGATTAATATTTTTTTGTTTTTCAGTGTGATATTCGGTATAACTGTTATATCCCGACGAGGAAAATGAATGGTAACTGTTGGGACCCAACCATGGACTAATACAATACATATATTTTATCGTATAATTGCTAAGTAACTAAACTATTGATATTCGTGTTCCTCTTATCATAAGCTTTATTTTGACGTATCGAATATTATTATACGACTTATGATTCCTGAGTTATGTCTGGTTTATCAGTTACTACCTCCCACACTCACAGCCACTTTTGGATAAATCCTTTACAAATGTTGTTTCCTATTTTATGGTACGATGTGGTCTGTTTGTTTGGTATATAAACTCAGTATGTTTGAACTAATTGATTCATATCGCAGAGGCTGAGATTTGTGTTCTGGACTTAACAGGTAGGGCTAGACAGGAAGCAGGACTGTTAATGACTCTAGACTGTTCGTATGAGTTTTGTGTCATTGGTCAGGTCAGTAAATCACTGTTTTCTAATTGGTGCTATCATTACGTTATAAATTAATAGGATACAAGGCACAAGTTATAACAATAACATTAATTTATGAGTATGGTGTTTGTTCAAGATACAATATTGTTCGTATTAAATTAACATGAACTTGGTTTAAGATGATAGGGAGTATGAGGTTTTGCTCTAATCCTGGGTACGTTTTTTTTAAAAAAAATGTGATTTTATTCTAATTAATAAGCAAAATGGGTATACAATCAATATATAAATGAGTTTGTTTTGGACTAGGGTCATCGTTATCGTGTTTTGAAGTTAATAAATTTTCATTTGTACCAATCTTGATGTTCTTACTTCGTGTCGTGGGAATTACAATGGTTCTTAGTTCTTTCAAGTATAAGAATAAGAGACGAGGATACAACAGCTTCATAAGAGCGAAATCAATGAATTCGCTATCATATGAATGTGTGTCAAAATATATTTCTTATAATAAACCTTAAACCCTAATTTTTTTTATCCATCACTGACTATTCACACTACCTTTAAATCAAATTCGATTTGCTGGTTATAATATTGTTACCTATTAGACACTGTTTGTATTCGATGCTAGTTGACAAAATGTGGCTTGACAGTAACATTCTGTTCCTTTATCATGCAAAATCGAGATCACAATACGACTTGGTTATAGGTTAAGAGGATAAAATAATTTTGTGAATGATCCTTACTTAGTTAAAATCTTTTGATGAGCTTGATTCTATGACCGGTATATAGTGAAATTTACATTAAAATCCACTGTTGTTTGATAAGAAATTGTTATTCAAAATGATTATGTGGATTTGTTAATAATTTTAGTAATTTCAATAGCTGGAATCATGAATCAATTGAAGTTAGACCATCATGGAAAACCTGGAAGCGCCGGATGGCCGTTTCATCCTAGTGCGGGACTCCTCAGCAGTACGCATCCACGATCCTGCCCCCCCTAGAGTATCGAACCCAGGACCTATAAGTCCCGCGCATGAGCACTTAACCATTAGAACACTGGGCCGGTCGGTAACAAACGGTATTAATGTCTAACTTCAACCAATCCACGAAAGTGCACCACCGTACACCATTGTTTTCAGTGAGCTGATATCTAACAATAAACCTGGTTGGACTCCACTGGTCACGGCTTCTCACTAGAACTCCAGGAAATGCCTCTTGAAGTCAGTCACTAGTGAGATGATTATTATCAGAAGGGACTTTGGGGAGATTTTAGTAATTTCAATGGTGGGTTAAGCGCTCGCATGCGAGACTGATAGGTCCTGGGTTCGAACCCCGCGAGGCGGGGTCGTGGGTGTGCACTGCTGAGGAGTCCCACTATAGGACGAAACGGCCGTCCAGTGTTTCCAGGTTTTCTATGGTGGTCTAGTTTCAATGACTCATGATCTCAACTGTTGAAATCACCTTTATCGAAAAGTTCATAAAATATATTTTGATAATTTGAAGATTAATTATGACTTAGTAATCAATCAATACAACTTTATTGAATTGATTATGTAATGCCAACAAATTTAGTTCTGAGATATATTCAATTTAAAAAAGTATTTCGATAATATTGAGATTTATTATTGTAAGATTAGGAAAAGAAACAAAAGTTTCAATCTTAATGAACTCTCATATTTAATCAAAGTAATGTATAAGAGACATACATTATGGAAATCATCAAACTGCATCACGAGGTAAGCCCTAACCTGGAATCCTGAAGGGAAGCGGAAAAGGGGAAGGCCAAAAAGAACATATTACGTCGGGAAATGGGAGCAGACATGAAAAGGAGGGATAGCAACTGGAAAGGATTGTCCAGGACTGGGTTGGTTGGAGAATGTTGATGGGCGACTTATGTTCCTCCACGAAGAGTAACAATTGTAAGTAATGTACAAGAGTACAGATCTTGAGATGGTGGAGATTTGTAGCTCAGAGAATAAAATTCCATCATAAGAGCATAGATTCCTAAAAATCTAGATGCACCTTCATAGATTTTATCATTGTATATTGTCACCTATATTCATTGACAAGAAACTCTGGTCATTACTAAGTATTTTTATTCAGAATTAAATTCGTGAAATAATTGTAACATATAAAGATTGAGAAACTTCCCTGTTATACTTGAATTTATTCATTTGTTTTATGAATCGAATTACGCTCATTATATAATAACAGAAATTCATAGCTTGTTGGGATGGTACTGTATAATTGAATCAATGGTAGGGGTTACACAATAATCTGAAGGTGAGATAGTATATTCTAATAGGCTTAATGATATATGTGGATGATTCAGATTTGGAAAAACCATTTATGCCACGTCATAGATGTAATTTCAGATTATTTTTAGTTTTATATACTTAGCTACTGAAAATTATTAAAGTAACCTAATCAAAAAAGAAAAAAAACGTCTGAAGTATTTTTTTTACAAATAGTTGAATAATGACATGAAACAATTTCTGTACATAATGATTTTAATTCAATCTGAGTATTAAGAATTCAAAACAGGCAAACGTACAATACATAATGAAATACGGAGAGAAAGGAAACTCAGTCCAACATGAGTGAATTTAAAGGATTTACACTTTCAAGACAATATCAATTTGTATAGTTTCAATCCTCAGAAAAAAAACTTTAGAAAATGTGAAGGGTCTTTATTTCAACAACTGGACACAATCGTCTATAGGTTAACTAACATTCATGATCTCTTATTAAAAGGTCGACTATTAGATGATGATTAGGATACAAAATAATTCACAACTGTTCTGTTCTAGAAAGAAACTTACCTGAGTAGGTATGTATTTAAGATTATGTACAAAATTAACCAAGAGTTTTATTAATGAATATAAAGAACTAATAGGCAAAATGCAATAGAAACTAAAAAGACTTGTAATTGTTCATTTATTTTGAACAAATAAATGTATGGTTAAATATGATAATAATCCTTGGTTTTGAAATACAAAGAATTGATCTCGGATATCTTCACGAAAAAAAAACCTAACTTGTTTGAAATCGATTTTCTATTCATGCTAACTTCGACTGAATGTTATGAGCTTAGGTAATACAATTGATTTCTTGGGTTGTCTCAGTAATGTGTCGGGACTTGAAGGTTTTCGAATACACGGTGCAGTTGTTGAACGAACTAAATAAGTAGAGAATGGATAAGTCACAATGTTCTTGTTTTCAGACTCATTATTATTACTATTATTATTATTATTATCATTATGATCAATGGGATAATGCTTTGGACCTGTATAATTAAAATGGAATTGAGGAGTTGATAAGGATAAATCATATTCTGCTTCCGAAGAATCACTTGAATCTTCACTTTCACTTGGTACTTCTAAACCGGATACTAATCGAACACGTGTATAATAACTTAAACTAATTGCAGGATAGAATAAATTTGATTTTTTTGTATTATCTCCACCTTGATTTGATTTATCACCTTGTTTTATATTTAAATTTGTAAAAGCTATAGGACCATGAGGTTCACCATTTAAATAAAAAGCTAAATGACCACGTTCACAATCAAATCGTACACCAATTGTAGTTGTAATTGAAGATGTATTCTGTGTAATACTTTTATCATGTATTTCTTGTTGTGTTATTTTAATACCACCATCTGTACGATCTCTATGCTCACCTCGATGAAGAAACCATGAACGTTTAGAATTCAAATACATTGCCCAACCAAATTCATCTTGACCTGTTAAAAGGAAGAAAAATGTATAATACCAAATAAGATATCAAACAACTGTTCTCAATTTTATACCAGCTTTTTTTCTTATTATATAAATTGAATATAATGACTACCATTGAAATTTCAATGAAAACAATGTTCTTATTCAGTCTAAAGTAACTCAATCTTGATTGAAATTCTAGATTCAGGTTACCTACATATAAACGAGATTTATTTCATTTAAATGACATGAATTCTGTTTGTTTGTTTTACATTCGATACAAAACAGAAAAAAGGAGGGAAAACATAGACATTCTTATATTTCCAGTATTCATTCTAATTTTAAGACATCTTCATAAATAACAATCAAATAACCCGGAATAAATTCATTGTGAATATGAAACTTATGATAAATTTCACATATTGTGTGATTAGAGTATAAGAGAATTATAGTGAAAACATAAGGCAAATATAATTAATTGATCAAAATAGAAGTCTTACTGTATTGAATGAGAACACAAGTGGGGAATAATCGAATGTATTCGAACGCAAAATTACAGAACATCTAAGTTTAGCCCCCAAATGCCCTTGTAGGACCGAGAGTGGGGAGAGTCAACTCTTTTCTTTCTCGAAATACTCTCACATGGCCTCGTGCATACAACCACTGCCAGAGAAGTTCTACTCACTGCCTTCTCGCGGCATTGAGAAGACGAAAAACGAATATCCGGCGCTTTAACCGGGTTAATGGATACGGAGGATTCACCTACGTGAGTTGGAAAACCCTCATTCCAAACCAATGGTGCACATGGGCTCCAGGATCCTGAGGGAACAAATGGAGTATGAACCAATCATTGGTCACCGGTTACCATGGAACTGCATCTCCTTACGTTGCTCCACTGCCTTGTGGATCAGACCTTTAGATCATAGGCTTGGGGCGTGGCCACCTAAGAAAACCACCTGCTTCGGTTTGGGCACCGGGCAGTATTCCAGTTCTCACACAAATCGAATGGTTTATGTGGTGCATATCTATTTGGTGCCTTCTTGTACCTATATTTATGTTGAAATAATTAAAATTAAATCTGAGAATCATACAGTAAATATATATCATTACCAAGGTTTGATTTGATAATTTCGAATAAATTGAGCATTCGGTAGATTGTTATAAATAAATAATATATTTGTAATATCCCAATGAGTAGAAAATTAGATTTTCTGACGTTTTATGACTAAGTGTAAGTCACTTCTTCAGAGAATAAATAAGCAAATTGTTCAGCTGTACTATTTAAACTTGGATTAATCTTAATTTGGTTATTTATTCTATGAAGAAGTGACTTACACTAAGTCACAAAACGTCAGAAAATCTAATTTTCTACCAATTGGGATATTACAAATATATTAATTATTTATACAGTAAATAGTTCATTTGTAAAATGTCAGTCAGTTGTCTCAGACTTCATTGTTCTTTCGTTTCTACACCAGTCAATCTTTATTCTTAATCTTTGATCTTCTAAACCCTCTGCCTTTAGGCATTTCACTTTGAATTGATGATACATACTACTTATATCTGTAGATATCAGTAGCATACACCACAATACTACCCAGTTATTTCACTTCGTACTGTTTTACTTCAATCTTCCCATTGATGTTTTAGGACTGAAACTGATCAGTCTCTTATTGGCATATGTGCATTCTATGCGCACTGCCTCCATATTACCTTAATTCACAAGCATTCTGAACAAAGATGGATAGTGACTAGTAGTGGACTCCACGACACGCGTTTCTTCCTAGTTTAGACTCGTCAAATCGATGTGCCTGCATCTCCGATTCGATGTTCACTCTAGACTCTGGAACTCGAACTCAGTACCGATCGCTTCAAACACCATCGCATTAATTATCCACTTAGCTACGTACAGTATGCACATGTGCCGACAACAGACTGATCAATTGCAGTGGTAAACATCAATGGGAAGATTCAAGTGAACAACACCAAGTGAATTTAAACTTCACCCCATTGCACAAGCAAGTGGCTATCAGGAATCAGGAGTCAGGAATCAGTAGCTAAGTGGATAACGCGATGGTGTCTGAAGCAAACAGTACTGGTTTGGAGTCTCAGAGTGAGCATCAACTCTGAGATGCAGGTATTTCTAGCTGACGAGTCCCATGTAGGACGAAATGAGCATCCTGGATTCCACTGTAGCCACTATCCATATTTTATCATTAATATTACCACTAGAGTAAATCTCTATATCCATAGTACAGTCCATTACCATAGTCGAATATATGTTTATCATTGTGATTTATAATGTCACAGATTCTAGTAACTTCAAACATAATTCATTGTTTAAAACTCCACATTGTGAAACTTAAAATAATTAGTCATATTTATATGAAAACAAAGAAAATTCAAGTGAGTAAGAATGATTCTATATTGTTTTGATTTTTGAACTTTGAATCATATCATCTGTGCTTCACAACATAATGAAATACAATCTTTAGATGATAGAATCAATTTCGGAAAGATTACATCATATACTGTAATCAATACCTGTTATTGTATAGAACATAAGATGATCTAAAGGGACTATACATACTTATTTATTTATTTTAACACATAGATATTGGTACAACGAGGCACCAAATACATATGCACCACACAAATCTCATTCGATATGTGTGAGGGCTGTGATACTGTCCGGGTGCCCAAACCGGAGTAGGTGCTCTTCTTAGGGAGTCACACCACGAGCCTTTGACCTAAAAGTCAAATCCACAAGGAAGTGGAGCAACATTAGGAGATGCAGTTCCATGGTAGCCGGTGACCAACGATTGGTTCATACGCCATTTGTTTCCGCAGGATACTGGAGCCCATGTGCACCATTGGTTTGGAATCCGGTTAGAGCACCGGACATTCGCTTTTCGTCCTCTCATTTTTGTAAACAACATCCCCGCCACGAGAAGGACTTCTCTGGAAGAGGATATATACGCGTGGCCATGTGAGAGCATTTCGAGAGGGAGAGCGGTCTCTCTCCACTCTCGGCCGTACCAGGGCATTTGTGGAGCATTATACATATATTCACTATTATATTCAATTAGACTTAGAATAAGAATTATGTCTGATTATTTTATTTACTTGTATAGCTCTCAGTTGTTTCACTTCTTTTCTTCTCTTTTCTCTTTATTCACTTAAATTGAAAGTTATTCAATTAGGAAAAATTTTCATTATCCCTTGAGATTAAAATTTTGCCTTAAGCAAATCACTTTTTCTTTTCTTCTTCTTCTTCCAAATAACCAAATTATAATTATGATTTTAACATTAAGGTGAATAGAATAGAATAAAACAAACTATACGGTAATATAATAAAAATAAATAATAAGGTCATATCTAACTTAAAATTTCAATATTATAGAAAGGTTAACCAATCAGGTTTGAAGGGGAAATATTATTTGGAATAATGAATAAACTATTTAAGAGTTATATGGAATTGAAATAAGTTTTTTTTCGGTGATGGTGGTGGTGGTGGGGAAAATTGAATACCTGAAATTGATCAGTCTCTTATTGGCTTATGTGAATACAGTGCATATAGCCTCGATACTAAATACTTTAGTTTTGATAATGTTACAGATGAAACTATATGATACATGTAGTGTAATAACTGCTTGTAAATGTATTCAAATTAGTGAAACTACATCATTTTGATCAGATGAAACTAGTTAAATTGTCTGAGTTTTGATTGAGATTATGAACCGATTGATGTTAGACGACCATTGAAAATTTGGAAGCACTGGATGGTAGTTTCTAGTGAAAAGCCGTGACTATTGGAGCTAATCCGTATCGGGTAGAGATAGGGTATTTACCTCAGTACAATAGAACATAGTCGTGCAATTTCGTGGATTGGTTGAGGTTAAACATTAACAAACACATTTGAATACCGGCTCAGTGGTCTAGGAGTTAAGCGTTCGAGAGTGAGACGGAAGGTCCTGGGTTCGAATCTCGTGGGCGGGATCGTGCTGAGGAGTCTCACAATAGGACGGGACGGCCATCCAGTGCTTCCAGACTTTCAATGGCGATCTAACATCAATCGGTTCATGATGTCAATCAAAAATTTAGTAATCTCCACAACCCCATACTGATAACTTGTATTGTAGAAGTTCTTAATTGTTACTGGTATTATAACAGTTGCCTGAAACTTGTATGAAAGGCTTTTTTATTTATAATGATTTGTGCTGATAATGGTTTATGTAACAGTCGAAAACGAATATAGGACGACAAATAAAACAGGTATAAAGTGATAATAAGTTATAGTTTAATTAAAAAATCTTTCGTCATTGTTCTAGACAATATCTTCAGAGCTTAATCAACGTATAAGTATGAAGAGATAAAGGTGGAATGCATTTACGCTAATATCAATGATATTCAGCTAAACTACACAGGATCTTCAATCACTAATTTCTAATGTTTATAGATTCCCATTCAAAAACATACATTTACACGTCATGGATCGACATTACATCTGAATCTGATAAATTTCGACACTTGCAACTTACCCTGGTAAGAATTTTATGTTTAAGTATGTTATGATCCGGTATAGTTTAATCATACTAATCTGTGTAAATTTATGACCTTATATTACGTGTTGAACAAATCAACAAGACAAATTAAATCACAAACATAAACCATTCATATAAACACACCATTGTTATACACTAACTTTATAAGTAATAATTATAACGTGCTTTTAAATTTCAAGTAACATTACTTATTTCTTTCATTGTCACGTTTTGAATTAGACTTGAAAGTCAGTAGTTCATGTATACGAACATATTGTTGACATGTTATCAACCGTAAATTGTATTAAACACTTCAAATGAACTTTTAAGTGTTTAGCTTAAATAACTTTATATGATAAGAAATATGAGATTAGAATCTAATTACTTGGTTATAGGTTTTTATGATATCTACTAATTAATAGAAATGAAAGTGAGGAAAAAAGGGATGGTAATTGCTATTTCTTATTTATTGTGATAAATGAGTCATTAGATAAGGTCATTCAAGTCTGTTTGTTTTTAATAATTAGATTAACTAAGATAGCTAGTGATAGTTTCAACTATCGATTACTCTGCGATAAACAGATTTGAGTTTGATTGATTGAAATGCTGGACAATTATTTCACTTATTTTAGATCAACCTCAGAAAGAGCTGAGCTGAGCTGTTTAGATCACTTGGATCAAACCTGATCTCCTGAATGAACCGACATATCATTAATGGCATAATTATAGTTCAAACTATTTACAAATTGTACGATCCCTATCAATTTTTCACACAGTTATACTTTTTAAACAAGCAAATATGATTCCAAATTTTTTATTGAAAACCAACTATGTAGGGTCAAAAGTTGTGATCATGGGTAATGAGGACCGTTAGGCCCTCATATAGTAACTGAATCAGTCAGTAACAACGTAGATAGTAACTGAATAATAATCCTCATCTAATAAGAGATGACAGTGTTAAGTTCGATCGTTTTTGTGTAACGTGGAAAAGTCAGACTGCTCAAGGCTTTCAATCTATAATGAAGTGTCGGTGAACTGTCTACTATCAGATTTTCAATAGAGCTCAAGTTGACGTTACTTTCTGATGAAACATATTTTCAAAATAGACTATTCATTTCCCAAACGATTTATCCAACTTATCACGTAAATTAAAATATGATATGAATTAAACTGACAAGTCAAAGAGGACTATTAGAAAGTGGAAAAAAGAGGAATCAAATCAATCTGCATCAAATTCTTTTTATCCCAAAAACAATAGTCATTCAGTAATTTAGGGAAAGAAATGACAGTCAATTTGGTATACAATTACATTTTGAGACTGAAAGACATTATTTCTTCGAGTTAATGGAAGACTTAAATTATTTGGATATAAGTGCTCATACAGCACTGATAAACTTAACCTCAGAATCAGACATTCCAAAATTAAATACTTGGTGATGAATAATTTAGCTCGACATGAATAAAGATGACATATTTCACTAGTTAACAACTAATTTAGAGTTGTATTTCTTAAAAAATATCAGTATTGTTTTACATCTGATGGTATATTTTTACCAAATATGCTACCTAGAAGTGTGGTCATTTCACCATAAATTACTAGTCCTTTGAACTTAAATCGGTGAGACTATAATTTATGAACGACTTTTGAGCGACGCCAAAGTGATCTTGAGAGTGTCTACCTACTTAATAGGGCCAAATGAAGGTTATAAAGCAGTTTGAAGAATAAAGACAATGATTTGCGATTGATGGTAAGGGTTGGGATTTAGATTTATAGTTTTCATAACGAGCTGACATCAGCTAAAATGTCAAGACGCTATTTGGGCGAATGGGTGAGTGAATTTCGTGTCAAAATCCAAGACCTGTTATCCTAAATCTGATTGGTTCGTCCATAAATTATAGTCTCGCTCTTAAATCTTTCAGCATCTACCTTAGTGGCTTGGGTTATACTAGCTTTTATGTTTATAAATGGCTATGGAATTCATTCTATAATTATTACATTGGGTTGATTGAGATTATATATTTTCTAAAGCTAAACATGTTATCGTATGTGTGGTCCTTTAGTTCTAACCTACAGAAATTCAGCATATACTGACATTGGTAAAATGGAACACGAACGATTCTTAAACAGAATGTTATATTTTCAATGATAGTTTATTTTGTATTTCTCAACTCTTACCTATAGTTTATAAATACAGAATGATATTATGTTTTGCAATATTTTACAGTTCATTAATTGCCCCAATTTCTTAGTCTATCATGTCTACCAAAATCTATGGGCTAATTCGTACAAATAACTCTTAGTTTAGTTTGAATAGTGTAAGGAATCAATAGAACACCATGAGACTAGATCCTGCTTTGCTATATACTAATTTTATCATCTTGAACGCATTTTAATATTTCTTAAAACATAAAACAGAGTGTATTACAATAACCATTCACTCAATTTCATTACCATATTTTACATCATGATTATTGAATTCTGAAGAAACCAAATTTGTTTAAATTATGAACGTAATTGATTAATTTAGTAAAGAAAGATCTTTATTACAGAGACTATTAACAAGTCTTGTTCATCAAGTAACTACTTTATGGTTGTAAGCAAAGATGGATAGTGGCTAGCAGTGGAATCCAGGATGCTCATTTCGTTCTACATGGGACTCGTCAGCTAGAAATACCTGCATCTCAGAGTTGATGCTCACTCTGAGACTCCGACCCAGTATTGTTGGCTTCAGACACCATCGCGTTATCCACTTAGCTACTGATTCCTGATTCATGACTCCTGATAGCCACTTGCTTGTGCAATGGGTGAAGTTTAAATTCACTTGGTGTTGTTCACTTGAATCTTCCCATTGATGTTTACCACTGCAATTGATCAGTCTGTTGTCGACACATGTGCATACTGTGCGTAGCTAAGTGGGCAATTAATGCGATGGTGTTTGAAGCGATCGGTACTGAGTTCGAGTTCCAGAGTCTAGAGTGAACATCGAATCGGAGATGTAGGCACATCTATTTGACGAGTCTAAAATAGGACGAAATGCGCGTCCTGGATTCCACTACTAGTCAGAATGCTTGTGAATTAAGGTAATATGGAGGCAGTGCGCACAGGATGCACATATGCCAATAAGAGATTGATCAATTGCATTGGTAAAGATCAATGGGAAGATTCAAGTAAACAATACCAAGTGAATTTATTATACGGTTGGTTTGATGTTTATTTATATTGAAAATAATGATTCAAAATCTTTGATAAATTGCTTTCCCACTACACAATATTCTATATTCAAATCATGTAATAAGACGAACTTTGTGTACTAATGAAGTTTCATCAAAGTAGCTATGGTTATCATGTAACTAACAATAATTTAAAAACGTCGTTCTTGTCGAGTATCATTAGTCGGATAATCCATAGTCAGAAAAGCTTGTCTTCTTCTCGGTATTCTGCATAGGTAAACTTGTGAACAAAGTAAGATAACGTTTCCAAGATAAAGATTGAATAGTTTGACCTAAAGCTACCAGGTTTTCAATTATTTTCTTATAAGATTGATAGTGATAAATATATTTTTGCGATAGTCGAATGAGTAAAAATCTGTTTTTCTGACATTTTGTGACTTAATTTAAGTCGTTTCTTCAGAGTAAATTTTAACCTCACTACTTCACATTACAAATTGTACATTTTTCATACCTTACCATCATGCGCACAAATAAATCCAGTGATCTGTCATACAGAATCACCTTGACCAGAAATAACATGACATTGACATGTTCAGATCTATTATAATTTTGATTGTTCTAAAAATGTTCTGCATTGTTTCCTTTGTCCTATTTAAACTTGTGTTAATTTAGTTTCAATTATTGTTTACTCTGAAGAAGTGGCTTACATTAGGTCACGAAACGTCAGAAATACAAATTTCTACTCATCGGGAGATTTAAAAAATAAATTTATCACCAAGTTTCTACCCAATACTTAATTCACTTGAAAATATTAAGTCTAACCTTAGTATTTATACTTATAAGATTGGTGTTTCGGAGGTGAAAAGAAAACTTTGAAGCCACAGAATGAGAAATAGTTTTCTAGTTATCTTTCCTGTTTAAAGTAGTGCCATAATCCAAGCTTTTTTCCAAACCCAAATACAATCTCAAAAGTTATCAAGCAAACCAAAATCTTATCAGGTAATCTAATTCATAAACAATAATTATGAGGGATCTCATAAACGTACTTATTTGATCATACCAATAATCACTTACCAAGCATTTTATCTTTGCTCACTTGAGCCAGTGCTATTCCGAATGAAGGCTGTCCTTTACCATCATACTGTTCAACATTCCATTCCCAATAATGAATACCTTCTGAGAAGCAAACATCACCCAAGAGAACACGATCTTCCAAATCTCCTTGAGCACTGATTGTACATCCATCAGATGATAGTTTTAAACCATTAATAGGTGGAGCAGGTCCAGATAACGGATTCATAACAAATGATGCAACTGTATAAATAGAAATAAAGGTTAAAAAAAATCTAGGTACTAGTCATAAGCGATGAAATAAATTAAAAATATAACATTTAAAGTTTGGTCGCTAGAGTACATATGTACACAAAGCTATTGAACAAGCAATAGTGAAGATGGAAAGTTATATAATGTAGTTTTTAAGATACAGTATGAATCTAGTATATAAAAATATTTAGGAACTTATGGATTTCTGATTAGTGATTTTTAGATTCCGAAAGTATTGGCTTTTAATTATTCTAAAGTCACATCATGAATTGACAGAGTAAATGGAAGTAAAGAATTTATGCATTCACAATACATGCACATATGCTAGAGATGCGAAATGCAATAACTTTGACGTAAAATATAATTAGAAGTTTATACCACACCTCTGATTTGTGTGTAAATAAATTGTAGTCAGCACTTGCTTTCAGCTCGTATACGAGAACATGTCCCAATGTGGTTTCACCACAAGTGTGAGAGGAAAGCAGTTAGAAGTTGCATTTTTGAACATCTAATCGACTTTAATCACTTCACTGATTCATAGGTTGATTTTAAGGTTGTTTACTCAATCCCTTCTCCTTCTGTTTCTTCGTACCCAACTCCTTAAAACAATAGAAGTTCTCGTCATCCATGATATGAAACCAGAACAGAGTACAAAAGAAGTACGCCTTATCGATATCATTATTATGTCCTTAAACTATATTAGTATTATTATATTTTGTATTTGAAATACCCCTCTCTCTTTAATTCTGTTTCATATCCTCATGATTATACTTATAATTGTTTCTGATATCAATTCATTTCATTTAACTTCTCTATTACCTTTCATTATTGTAACAAAAACATTTTAATAATGTTACTTCATTCACACTATAATCCGTTGCTAACTAACTAATTTTACAAAGCTTTCTATTTGTACACACACAATCTTTTATTGTTATTATTCACATTATGTAATCTTTCTGTTACATCATCATATTTATTCCTTGTTCATATATCCTGATGGAACTAATACTTTAACAAAATTTTCATATATTGATACTGTTGTATATCTTGATAATAAATTCGTTGAAAAAAGAGATCCCTTCGCTGAGTTTTTAATGTCCTAATAATAAATCCAGTATAGTTACACTTCCGAATTTGAAACTTACATTAACACTTCTGAATATATGTTACGATATTAGCTCAATAAATAAGTGACAGTCATTTCAATGGACAGAACTGATATAAATGAACTAGCAGAGGATGAGATATTTTGTCAACGTATGAAACACTTTAAATAACTTGTGTTATGTATATAAAGAAGAGACTACTATGTAAACTTTTTGGGATTAAACTAATTATTAGAAAGGTCTAATGGGCTCTATACAGTTTATTGTATGAAGAAGGAAACAAAAACTGCTAGACGTCAAGATATGGATACAATGAAATATCATAATTAGTGAGGTGCTTTTGTATTTTGATTACCCCTCAAATTGGTTATGAGAATTTTCAAAGTCAACCAATGATTGACACCTTGAGTACAGCCTCAGAAGAAAATGAAGCTAGGATAAACTTCATGGACATATAATGGAGTGAATGAATAACTAAAAAAAGATTAGTCGATTATTTTCTTCTTACTGATGGTAGCAGAAATAGAGATTAGTTTAAAAATCAACCAGATAAAAACTCAATAAATAGAGGAAACGTTGAAATCAGGTATCATCTGTTAAAACAAATAGAAAGAAAGCTAAAGCGATCATTTAAAGTTGCTCTAAAATTATTAATGAACGATCTGCTAGTTCCATTTTATATGAAAAAGAACTGAAGGTAACTAAAGTAAACGATCTACACGTATAAGTTTTAAAAGGTTGGCGAGCATTAAAACAACCAGAATATTCACAACTTGAAATGCAAATATTTACAAACAGATCAAAACTTCTTAGTTTCAAAGCCATTCCGAATTCTAATAGTTGGATTCATAAGTCGATCTAAGCTAGACCATTATTGAAAACATGGAAACACTGTACGACCGTTCCGTACTAATGTGGGACTCAACAGTGTGCATCCACGACCCCGTGTGTGGGATCCGAACTCAGGACCTTCGATCTCGCTCACGAACACAAACTCTGGACCACTGAGCTGACATCCGACGGTTTTAATGTTTAACTTCAATCGATCCATGATTTTGCGCAACCCTTCACTCATTGTCTGAGGTAGAAACCTGTCTCTATCCGACACGGATTGGACTCCACTGGTTACGGCTTCCCAATAGAACTACTACAATCTCTGCAAACCCTCATTCTGATGATCTTCATTTCGAATTTCGTAAAATAAACAGTCGGAATGTACGCATGAGAATATCTTTGAACCATTGCCGAAAGGGCGTTTCTGAAAGGTGTAGATGGGTTCAATTTGCAATTTAACAAACTTCTATTACTTAGATTCTATAAAAATTTTTTCTAAAAGTATATAGGATGCATTTTTTACTTACGACGAGCTGTTTTTATTGCAACAATATCACTATAAGCACTTTGAGCAATTCCATTTGTAGATCGAATACGAAAGCGATAAGTTGTATTTAAATGTAAACCTTCCACTCGACAAACACACTCAGGTCCTGTGTAGACAACCTGTAAAGAAAAAATAAACAAGTATTTATAAACAGTTGTCTACGCAAGATACTCAATATCTTTTGGCCGGATACCATCAGCAACATCGTACTGTGGGGGAAACCGAACCAATTTCCAGCTGAAGAGGAAATTAGGAAGAGGTGATGAAAGTGGATAGAACACACATTAGGGGAATTATCAAACTGCATCACGAAGCAAGCACTAACTTGAAATTCTGAAGGGAAAAGGAAAAGAGGAAGGCCGAAGAACACACTACGTCGGGAATTGGAAGCAGACATGAAAAGGATGAATAACAACTGAGAACTGAAAATAATTTCCTAGGACAGGGCTGGATGGAGAATGCTGGCAGGCGGCCTATGCTCCTCCAGAGGGAGCAGCAGGCGCAAGTAAGTAAATAAGTATATTCAACAATAAAAGAACAAATAGTATTTCATTTTGTAATGAGGAAAAGCTATAAAAGGATAGTGTTTTAATCTTTATTAATATAAAAACAATAATTCGACTTAGTGAATAAAGTTAAATAAGCTCTTGAAACTGCTTGTCGAGAGTAGTGGTTGAAGGTTTTGCAAATTTTATATATGAATTGCTTTCTACAAGCCGTCAAGTTACACTTATAATCAGTAATCTATTCATTGAATAAGTGATTTCTAAATTATGCCTTCATTTTATTGATCAGTTCTGCAGAGAAAATATTTCTCAAATGTAACTTAACCGACTTTTTTTTTCTAAACCACTACATATTATTTAGTGGTAAATATTCAATCATATTGAAATATAATGACTCACTGATACATGTGGTTCGCATTCTCAATCAACTGGGCTTAATCACTGGATGAACGAGAGGCTGAAGGGGCTGGTACTATGTCAAGCCCACATTGGTTATTCTATCCTGGATAGACAGATCTAATTATTCTTCTCAAGCTACATTTTTACCGTCACTTATTTGCTCATTAGTCTTGACTGTTTTTATATGATCGTATGTGTGTAAATTACTTACCTTATTCATCGTGCGTCTGTAACTTATTTTTATCTGACTATAAATGAGTCACGCTAGGTAAAAACGAGTTGGTTCACTCGCCATCACCGCTACACGATACATCGTCTCGTTTCACTTCGCTTTCTTCACTTTGTTTCGCTGGATGTCAGCCTGAATCAATAAGTGTATGAAATATACGTATTCAAAATCCATTTACGTACTTGAATTATTTAATTCTGTTATCCACTAACGCGGATTATATTGATAATTATATACGAGGATAGCCGGCATATATATTTCGATGAAAATCAGCATACAATCCAACTGGAGTCAGATGCCGGGACTACTGAAGGACATTAGTCAAACGAATTATTCATTTTAAAAATATCCTAAAACTTAACAATATAATTTATCTATGTATCAAAATATGTTTATGTGACATTTCCTAGTCATATAGCCTGCTCCTGTATCCTTATTATTTTTCATTCGGATAAATTACCATGTTAATGGATGACAGTAACTCCGTTGTTACTTCCTATTCATTTTATTTCAGACAAGATAATGTGTTCATCTCTTACTTTAGCTGTACATGCGACACAAAACTATTGATACCACCCACACGTACAAATCTGAAAATCCTGTGTTTCAATTAGGTGAAACGAAAAAAAACAGAGAAGGGGGCAGTTACAAAAACGAAATACCTTGATAAAAAGATCTCACATGTCACAAGTGAATGATTATGACAGTTGGTATTATTTAAGTATCAGGAGTGAATCATATATATAGTAGTAAAAGACTTAAAAATTTGTTTAGATAATCTTTCTGTACTTTGATGTCTTCTTTTATATTTCCCCAAAGATAAAAAATGAACGTTACAAAACAGTAATCCATAAGTTGGCAGAAAAAAATAGGAAAATAGTGAGTATTTAGTCGATGGTTATCACCAAAATGTCTTACGCCTTATGAACGGTCCAAATTAACTAGAGATATAATGTAATGTAGTCACTTCATATGGTGTTTACAAACAAAAATATACTGTTATTTAGATCAAAGACCGACCTGATTAGTGTTTATTAGTTTTCAATGATTGTCTAACTTCAGTTAGTTCGTGATCTCAATAACAATCAGTAATCTTCATATCCCTCCACACTAATGATAGACTGTATTTGATGTTAAGTGATTTGTGTTGGTCATTAAAAATACTTAGATTTAGTTATTGTAGTTGATCCATTTCATCAACAAATTGTCTACAGTAACAAAAAAGCTTTGTCAGTTCAATGCTTCTCGGTCTCAACACTTTTCCAGATGGCATTAATAGACAGTAAACTTTTCATTCAGTTTATACAAAGTTTTATAAAACAATTAGATGGTACAAAAAGTTTCGTAGAGATTGTTCCATTTCGCAACTTCAATCATGGACTGACCTTATTTAGATAGCCGTTGGATAACTAAGAAACACTAAACAGCTGTTTCATCTTAGTTTGGGAAAACCAACTGTAGTTAGATATGTAAACTACTGATTACCGACTGAATGATCTATCTGTTAAGCAATCGTCTCGAAACGTGAAGGTTAAAGATTCAATCCCTATTGAGACGTGTATGTTCATTTCTGAGAGGTCTCATACTAGAATAAAACAACTGTCTAGTATTTCCTTTTTTAGTATCTACTTAATTAAGATCAGTGATGTAGTTTATTATATCATTTAAATTGCATAGGTATAAACAATCACTAGTCATTTTAATCAGAGAGGGATTTTTTGGATATTATAGTAATTTTAATAGTTGAATTCATCAGTCAATTGAAGCTAGACCACTATGGAGAACCTGGGAGCACTGGTAGTCCTGGGTTCGAATCCAGCGAGGTGGGATCGGGGATGCTCAATGCTGAGCAGTCCTATACTAGAATGAAATGGTCGTCCAGTTCTCCCAGGTTTTCCATGATGATCTAACTTCAATTGACTTATGAATCCAACTATTGAAATCACTAGTCATTTTGTTAAAATGTGAAAATTATAATCAATATAGAGTAACATATTTACTCTTGAATTTAAATATCAATGTTACACATTTCCGCTATTTTGTGACTAGTTTTATAAATATGTAATTAGTAGTTAATAGAAGCCATTAACAGAAATCATTTAAGTCTTAACAATGTATTTAAATTGTATTAAATAGTAATTTTAATCTTAGTTACCCAGGTCACTAAAAATTGACCTTTGTAAACACAATAAATAAACAGTGAATTCATTCACCATAAGTTGTGCATTTTTTTAAAACAAAAAAAAAGTAATTGTATGTATGTATTAATGTATATGGGGTGAATGTTTAACTAAACTGACAAGTATAAAAAAACATATATTTTTCAATACATCATTAATTTTTATTGATCAGTTTTACGTTTAAAACAGGAATAAAATGAGAATCCATAGGAGATCTATAGGGGGATTAATAACAAACAACTGATCACAATTGATTGATCACTGGGTGGTGACTAATGTCATGTGTGTCAAGTCCTTATTAGTGCAGATCGATTGCTATCAACCATGATGCAATGTGGCCATCAGTCTAGGTGACTCGACACTGCATGCACTATTGTGAGATTAGATGGTGGTTGTCGACTACCTCCAACCACAATCTAATAACAAACAACTGAGTTATATTATATACATATTAATTTATACACTGCTGAGGAGTCCCACAATAGGACGAAATGACAGTCCAGTGCTTCCAGGTTTCCAAAGGTGGTCTAACATCAGTCGGTTCATGATCTCAATCAAAAATTAATAATCTCCACAACCCCTATACTACATTCAATTGCCTTAAATAAGTTAAGTATGTTTTCCAAGTTACCTCAAGGTTTAAGTGGGTTTCATTAAATAAAATTAGATAACAAGTTTTTATCGTAACAGACCAAATCTTCACTTCTCAATAAGTGATTTCTATAAATTCCATTAAAAACATTTAACATCAATATGGCTTAAAAATTTTTATCGAAAATTTATGATTCAGGAGATCAAAGTGATTTATGAGTGAAATTGCCTGAAATAAGTTATATCTATACAGAATTTATATTTTTCATCTTCTTACGTAAGTATTATAAATAGTTGAACAAAAGTTTCGATTCTCGTATTAATGTCATAATGATCGGTCAATTTTACAATAAACTCTTTCAATGCATATATTACAAAACAACATTTTAATGTTACTATTACGTCATTATTATTATTATTACTATTAGCTTTACTCAATGTTATATATTTGGTACAATATAGGATTCTCAGCACAAAGTATTTCAATAAGTTTTCTTTTCTTATTTCTTGATCGATCCTTGCAATAAATATTGAGTGGTCACCAGTTAGATATTAGGTATTCAGGAATCGATATCTGAATAACGTATATTATTTTCGATTCATATTGCCAGTAACTATGATGTCTCTGGTTAGGCTCTTTTGTAACTTATACAGCGAAATACCGTAAACTTTTCACAAACGCACCTGAATAGGTTATGCGACTAATAAACATAATGATGTATTAAAACAAACAAGAAAATAGATAACTTGTTGAAATATCCAGATGGCAGGAACAGGTAGCCCAAATATTCAAGCAAGCCGTCACTCATTTTAATGTTCGAATTACGGTCCTAATTATTCAGTATTATAATTTTCTCCGGTAATTTTGAATTTAAAATACTCGTTCGTCGCCTCTGGATTTAAATCAAAAAATTCCACTTTGGATTTTTTGTTTTAAAGTTTGTACTGCATAATCTTAACACTAAAGGGCTATCACTATAGTAGTTGCATATGACGAAACAATGAAATATGTGTAAATATTATACCCTTAGGGGGGAATGCAATGACGACTTGATTACTTAGAAGAAATCATGTGTACAATTCATTTATATTTATACGACTTAATGAAAAGATATCTATCATATATCATCATCATCATCATCAGCTTTATTCAATATTATATTTTTTGATACAATATAGAATTCTCAGTGTAAAGTATTTCAACAAGTTTCCGT